TTGTTTGGAGAGCAGGTAATAGTGGAGATGAACTTTGTGTTGGAAAGTTCTTTAGTATTTGATGTGCATACTCTTCTTAACTATTTACTTTATTCTTGGCACTTAATACTTAGTTTAAAAGGATTCTTCACATCCTTTTGACGCTGAAAGACCAATATTATGATGCTGGAAAGACAAATGGCCACCTGAGATAATATGATGAGTTGCACACTTGATGATGCTTTAATTAGCTGGTCTTTAGGTGTAGTGTACAAATGAATAAATATATGGATATTTGGTTTGCCTTTGTTGAAGACTATATATAACTGTGACCAAAGATACTAGTAAATCTCTCTATATATAAAATATCTAGATGTGTGCTCAGATTTCATATAATAAAATGGTAATACATCATTTATGCTATTAAGTTGTTGTTTTGTTTTGATCTATTGAAACTCAATATAACATTTAATGAAAAACTTGTTTCATAAAGAATGTATTTACTAAATAAACAATATATTGAGCAAAGGCTGAGTTCCACTAGATGGAGCAAAGGAGTAGCCAACCTTTGACTTAGCAGTTTGAAATTGTGGAAATCGAGGGACTTTATTTTCCTATACAATAATGCAACACAGTTTAAAATAATGAAGCACAGTTTAAAACAGTAGCAATGCAGAACTGACTTAATGAGGTTTGGAAGGCGAATTGTGACTTCATGTTGGGAGGTCAAATCAATTTATGCAAGCATATTCCTTTTCTGTTTGTGAACCAATGTTAGGTAACTTGCCATTTGCCATGGCAGTAAGCTTGATGTGACTTACTGGGTCTTGCTTCAGAGCAAACATGTACAGGATTTGGTATCAGGTATATGGAAAAATTCAGGAAATGAAATGGTGGAGACCTATCAAACAGCACTGTCCTTCACTCTAAGTGTCAGACATTGCTACCCTGTAACTTCTGTCAGCCCTAGTCTGCATGCAAATGGAGAAAGATGGTTCTTAGTGTAGTCCAACAATGTCTAGAAGGCTTCACATTCTGCATTTCCAATTTATAGATTAACATGGCACACTGATATAGATGCCTGTCCTTTATATAAACTTTGCAAAGCTTCAGAAAATGGTTATTTGATTCAGCCCAATCAGTCAGGCCATATGTAAAGCCAAATCATTATTTAACGTTACATAAGCAAACTAGACATCCACATCCCCTCCTTTCTTTCTCATACTCTGAATAAGTATCTTCTGGTTTGCTTCAAACCATAGTTTGCAAGGTGAGTCAAATTAGCAAATTATGCATTTGCTTGCTCCGCTGACCAGAAAAGAAATAGCAAACCAACTTCAAACCATAGATTTGCAATTCAGTTGTAAGAGCAAACTGGCCTTTAATGTATGAGTGAGAAAGGCAAAGTTTGTAGCTCGTAAGTGCAACACTTGCTTGTATACCTCCAAATCCTGGTTTGGCTTATTTAGAGGTCCATTGTTCAGTTCAGTTTTAATTCTGTATAGGTCATAACAAAGATACATAAAATAATTTATGAAAAACTCACTTATTACAGTTTGTTACAAGAATGTTGTTGTGACATGCCATACATTTAAGTACTCTCCAATTTATGGTGACCCTATGAACAATGCCCTCCATAATATCCTGTCCTTGGCTGCCCTATTCAGTTCTTGTAAACTCAAGGCTGTGCATTCTTTATAGAATCAGTCCATCCCATAGATGGTCTTCCTCTTCTTCTTTTGCCTTTGCCTAGCATAATTGTTTTTCCTAGTGAGTCCTGGCTTGTGATGATGTGCCTGAAGTGCAACAGCCTCAGTTTCAATATGTTTGCTTTCAGGGCAAGTTCTAAGACCCATTTGTTTTCTAACCATCATAATAGAAATAAATTACTATGCACATTGTCAGCACTGCATAATAAAAACTTCACAGCTGAAGATTCAGTTAGAAGTAGCAAAAACTTTAGCTAATATTAAGGGAACCAATCCAGTTAGAACACTTTCATTTGCCTGGAAGAAAAAATCAGTTGTGGCTGGATTTTTTTTTTTTTTTAATCTTCATACTAGGAAAATGTGCATTTGTTCTGGAATGGTTTTGGTAGATATTTCATGTTTGTGAGTCTTGTTGCAGCATCTTGACTTTTAATGTAAGGGAGATTGAAAGATATTAAAATCCCAGTGAGTTGGGATACCTGCACAGTTCATTCAGTCAGAACATATGTGTGTGTGTGTGTGTGTGTGTGTGTGTGTGTGTGTGTGTTGAGGGTTACATGTTGGTACTGTTTCCTGTAATCAAAGGCTTACCCAAATCTGATAATAGTATCCAACTATGTCATTTTTGTGAATTGTTTTCAGCCTTAGGTTACTTCATAGCTGGTTTTGCAAATCGAGAATGCAAGAGGATCATATTTGCCTTGCTGAGCAAAGGCTGGGAATAGAACTCCCATCCCTTCCTCCCCCTTTTTGCTGCCTTGCGGAAAGTTTAGCTTTATACTAGAGTGTGAAAAGAGGTGGTGGGGGGAACCTTGACTGGAGCATGTCAGGCATATTTCAACTCGATTTGTGTCAACTCTAATAAGTCAGTTGACAGAGTAATAAATTGGGTGTCAGCTCAAGAGCTGGCATCTATTCAGAAAATAAAACGGGATTTCAGATTGCAGGCAAGTTCTTTCCCTTTTTTGATCTGAGGTTTCCCAAAGGCTTCACCTTCACCTTCCTTTTTCACAGAAGCCACTTTATGGAATCCTATTATTTGAAAATTTCACTTGTCATTTTTTATGAATTGTAGACTTCAGTTAATAGATTTATCGTCTATTAGTGTTTTATACGCACTTGAACATTTTACCAACTTGTGGACATTCTCTTCATACATCTGAAAGTGGATTTCATAACTATTATTTTTCTGTGGTACCCCATGTATTTTCATCATTTGCTGTTTTCTCTGAAGTTCTAACTCTCTGGGTTTGGGCTTCATTACTCCACAAAAATCAGTTTTAAAAGTAATCTTTTCCAACGTTGTCTGATTATCATATTTTTATAATCCCACACAAAGGCTATATTGGGAGTCAATGCTGGTGTAAACTAGGTAGAAAATAAAGCCAAGTTGGAATCTGTGTGAATCTTAGAGAATTTTCCTAATATTTTTGCCATGGGAATTGGTTAGATTAGAAACATATTACTTGGAGTAAATCCCACTGACATAAAGAGACTTCATTCCAATGAATTATGCTAATAATCAAAGTACAGATTAATTTTTTTATATTTTGTTTTTATTTTATTCTTGGGACCTTCAGTGTAAACAGGAATGGAAGACTAAACTCCACTTTAGAATAAGCTTTGTTTAAAAATAACTAAATTTTACTCTTTGACTTCTATAATATACAATCCAAACACACATAAATAAGTGTTGGTTCTTTTTTCAGTTTCTGATCAGACAGATTATCCTTTAACAGGTCTAACTATTGTATCATATAGTGATCTGTGGATGAATGTAAAATATGCAGATTTTACTTGCGTGACTTTAATTTAGTTGAACTGCAGAGTTGGTTTGAATTTCACACTTTGGCTACAGACCATGGAAAAAAAGACTCAAGGGCAAAATGAAAGTCCATAAAAATGGAGGAAATGTAGCTTTTCATATTTCTGGATATGCTGCAAAAGCATTACAATGCTTCTATTAACAAGGCCAAAGCGAGAAAACAGTACCCAGTGGCCACGATCCAACAGAGAGTTAAGCCCTTTTGATTCAGTGGGGCTTAGGTGCATGTAACTGTGCACTGGATAGTGGCCAATAAGTGATAACTTTCTGTGCAGACTTTTTTTTTAATTTCTTGGTCAGTGAAATGACATTGAAACAATACCTTTTCTGTTCTCTTTAGACTAACTTTGATTCCTTTCTGGCTAGTTGTCTGTATGATTAAGAATTTAAGCTAAGGCTTGTAGTTGTCTCATGCTATAAATTGCAAAAATATGGTTGATCACAAAATCATCTTCAGAAATATTCAAAGAACAGGGTACTTACAAAAATCAAACATCTTCCAGGTGTTTTACTTTAGAAAAAATGTCAGGTGTATCTACCATTGAAACTTGGATGGAAATTCTTGGCCTATCAGCTGCCAAAATGAAGTTAAACAGATGCCTTGAGTGGAAAACCAGGACAGCTGTTAGAGGGCTATGAGTGAAGCACAGGTGGGCTATGACAGCCAGAGGTGAAAGAGGGTCCTATCATTCTCCTTCCCTATTTTACTCATTTCCAAAGCTTTTACTTTTTTAGAATAATAGCCAGGAAACATTGTGAGAATATTTCCCAAATAGCAGCTTAGTGCTATTATACTTTGATCATAGTGTTCTTTCACTGCTAGAGTAATCAATGGACAGAATAGCATAACTAAATTGGGTCGATTTAAATCTCAGGTAAATTAAATTTCACCCTAGATCCCAGCATCTAAATAGCAGCAATTTTGTATTGCTGACTGTATTTGTCTTGTTTGTAATCTCTGGTGATGTAGTTGTGCCTATGCTCATTTGTCTCATTCTTTCTATAGTTTCATTTTAGTGGGACTCTTTTGGTTTGGTTCTGAGTAATTTATCTCCCCAACCTCATTTATATGCTGCTAGATTAAACTTGTGGTATTGATTCAGCAATTTTTGGTCCAAGGTTTTTAGAAACTACTGAGATTATTATTTAGTCCATAAAAACATGGAAGCCATATGTCTGCTTCCACAACAAGCAGCTTATTGAAAGCTTGCAGAAAAAGCATTTGTATAGTATTGACTGTAGATAAATATGGGGTGACCAAACTCTTCTTCAATATCTTGGGTCCAGCAACATTTAGAGGAAAGTGATGAATATGTGCTTAAAAAAAAAGTGCTCTTAAGTCTGGTTCCCAACAAGCACTAACTTGGGAGTAAGTCTTCACTCAGTGTAACATGCTTCTAAGTAAGCATACATAATATTGGAATTCACGCCAAACTTGGAAATGTTCTTCTGAACCCTGTATTTTGTTTTGTTTTTATAACTTTCAGAGCTTTGTTTAGAAGTGTTGAGATAACGATTTTCATCTATGTTTGGGAAAACTATAGACTTATGGAACTGCCATGGGACTCACCATGGACATGGTATTTGACATTCCTTGGAGTAGATTTTGGATACTACTGGTTTCACCGCATGGCTCATGGTAAGATTTTATTTCAATTTATTTTGCTTTTGTGAATTATGTATATGGCTTAATTTCTCACAAGTTGCTGGCAAAGACACCCTCAGATTGATGGGGCTATGGAAAGGTCCAGCTTTTGCTTATTACAGTCCACTCAGACAGATTCATCCAAGTCTGAGGAGGCAGTGGAGGAGCAGATTCAGTGACTTTGCAGCATGAAGGTTACTAAGTGAAGTTTCTCATATAGTGTGAGAACCAGCCTGCGGAAAAAGAGACATTTCAGAGCTGGGGGTGGTGTGGAGGAGATGGAGGGCCGTTCCTTGACCCTGTCAGGAGATGACAAACAAAACAAGTAAATTACAAAGTGTCCAATGTTCCCACCATCTAGCCCTCATGCTGAAGGTGGAGTCAGAAGCCTTTCAGAAAGGATGGGAAGGAGAAGAAGGTTCAGTTTGGACACTCTTTACATGGGCAGATGCTTCTCCCCCATCTCAGGGAGAAGGCTACTGTGATTTACACTGCTTTGCAATCTGTTAAGCTTTAATAAAATGCTTCAAAAATTTCGTTTGAGTCTGCTTGAGAGGAAGAGAGACAGACCTGCTCACAACAAATTCTGTTACTCATTAAGAAGTTGTTGTACCATGGACCACCTGCTAGCAGGGACTGTCTGTCACTCCTAGATGCCTTCTTCTACTGTGTGCTCTTGGGGTAAGAGCCACTTCTCCCAGTGCTGGTTCAGTCCCTTGCTTTGTATGTTCCTCCTCACCTACCATTGACCTCTCATCCTCCTCTGCCCTGCTTTTGCCCTTAACTGGGAAAGACAGAATCTCTCTCTCCCTCTCTCTCTCTCTCTCTCTCTCTCTCTCTCTCTCTCTCTCTCTCTCTCTCTCTCTCTCTCTCTTTTGCTTTGTCTATATGTTCATCCTGCCAACCTTGCTGTTCAAAAGCATGCAAATGCAAGTAGATAAAAAGGTACCACTTTGGTGGGAAGGTAAACAGAGTTTCGTGCACTTCGGAGTTTAGTCGTGCTGGCCACATGACCATGGAGACTGTCTGGGGACAAACGCTGGCTCCCTCGGCTAGGAAACGGAGATAAGCACCACCCCCTAGAGTCAGGCATGACTGGACTTCACATCAAGGGGAAACCTTTACCTTTATATGATCATGCCCAGAATTTACATTCAGCATCAGAAACCGTGCACTCTGAAAGTGGCACTACAACTGTGAGATTCTCCTCCTAGAAAAGTCTTGTCAGTTACCTTACTTTCCCATTATATACAGGGCTTTGAAAAAGTCCTTATTCAAGTCAGAACTTTATGATTCTTGTTTTTATTGTTTCATTTCTAGGACTGTACTTTTAATATTATAATTATGTTTCTTTTTAATATAAGCCACTGCAAAAATTAGTTTGGAAAGCAGTATTTAAATATATCTAATATTGTGAATTTGGATGGAATCCAAGCTAATGCACTACTTTCTTATGCTATGTCCTCACCCTAACTAGGTCAATTTTCCTGGAATTAGTGGAGAAGCTTCAATGGCTATGCACTTATGGAGTTCCTTCATATCATACTTAAGACTTCCAGATTTTATTCTCAAAGTAAAAACATTACAGACTTTTCAGATGTGTAGAAAACATTGGCACTGACTTAGAAAAATGATGGGAACAGGTATGGGCTGTTGAACTGAGTGGAAATGAGGGCTGGGTTCTTGTCTAATGGGAACAGTGATGATGGAAAAAGAAGTGGGGTCAGAACTGGGCTAGAACAAAGCTGGGAGGGTTGGTTGTTGAGTTAAGTAGAAGAGGAAGGAGGCAATCGGACATACAGCAATCCTGTGGGGAAGAACTTCAGACTTGATTTAGGGAGAGGGTGGGTGGGATATGAGGAAGTGCATGGGAGATGAGACAATAAGGCTAAGAAGAGGGGAATATTCATCATAAGGGGGTAGCCAAGTTCTGTGTGTGGGTGTGAGAGAAAGAGAGGATGGGGGAATATAAGCAATGGCATTTAACTGTACTGGCAGCACTACATTGTCCTGAAAAATATGATCACCATTTTGAAAACGATAGGATTGTATAAAGCTATTATTTTTAGACACATACTAAGCACATAATTTGTCAGCCAAATTCACATTAGCAGAGAGAGAGAGAGAGAGAGAGAGAGAGAGAGAGAGAGAGAGAGAGAGAGAGAGAAGGAAAATCTATTCCATTCTGTTTGGATTGGACTGCCCCTGAAGGCTAAAGCCTGTCAAACTTTTATTTAAATTTGATAAATTCATGCAGACAGTGTGATTTTATATGGGGGCATGATCAGTTTCACGATTTTATCTTCTGGCACTTTGTTTCTTTAAGGCAAAGCAGCCTTGGAGGCTATGATCAAGAGCAGGAAGATTTCTTTCTTTTCTTTTTTTTTTTTTTACTCATTCCCTTCCTGCCACTGGTATGCTCCAAGTCCTTTCCTTCATACCCACCTGTGCATGCAGAGACAAGATATAGGATCCCTTGAAGGAAATAATAATGCAGTTGAGTCTCACATGTTGTTTCAGCCACAAGTGAACTTCAAGCAGAGAATAAAGAGAGTGTGCAACCGACATAGCCTTCTAACTAACCGTCTATGCTGGATGGATGCCAGTTCAAAGAGTGTGAGAGTTGTGTGCCACAATATTTGCAGAGAATGGGCTCTGCAGTAGCACATATGAGTGGGTGTGCTGCCTACCAAAATATTCTCTTTTAGGCAATTATGCAATGGTGAGGAATCGGTGATTAAACTAGTGCTGGATGTGCAGTAGAAAATAATAGAAAGGAGAGTTGCTGGTCATTCTGAATCATTCAGAACTATTGTATTTGTGAAGATGCTATAATGGCATTTTTGTTCTGTGATGTTCCGGAGGAGTCAAAGGGAGAAAACCTTCCACATCCTTTAATGGCCAACAGAAACTGAGTCTGCTGAAAAGTAGTTCTACTTCTATTCAAAGTATAGATTTTATTTCTTTTTGCCATAGAGCAAATGGGAGAAAAATAATCTGCTTTAAAGGCTATATGAACTTCATATATGATGGTGATGCTGTTATTATCACTATTATCATTGCTATATATTAATACATGGAAAAGGTTGCTGAAGGAAGCTCATTTGCAAGCTACCTAAAAGAGATGAGGATATAGAGTTAGGAAAAGCTTTACAAACTGCAACTTTCAAAACAGCAACGTGCTACCATGAAAAGTGTAAAACTAATGCACAAACTGTTGATGCAGGAGCCTTGTTTCTGGTGGAATAAGCTGCTTAATAGGAAATTCATTTACATTTACTATAAATGTTACAATGTCACTGCAGTATATGAGTTATGGTGCTCAAAAATGATACATTCCTTTACACAGGAAGTCCTCATCTATGCCTGGTGGGCCATAGGTGCTTCTTATTTATTTGTGCTAGGAATATATATGTTGTTGTCATAAGAAGATTCCTGATGGATCAGACCGAAAGGATACCTACTCTAGCAGTTCTCACCGTGGCCAGTTGGAAAGCCACTGGAAACTCACAGGCAGAAAAGTGCAATTTAGTGTTCTCTTGCTTCTGATACTGCGGCTGATATATGGGGCCCTTGTGTAGCCATTGAAAGCCATAACCTTATTGTCTATAAATTCATCTAACTTCAGCACAATCGTAGGTGAGATGAGGACCTTTCTCAGCTTTTTAACTTGGCATTGCATCCAAGCTTCAGCTGTACAAGAGATGAGTGGAACCAATAAAGCAAGCCAAACAAGCCTTCCTTCTAGTTTATACAGATCTTCTAACAGTAGAATGGTTGAGGAATTACATGATACTGGGCTATGGACTAGGGAAGGACTTTCCCAACATGTGCCTTGAATCATGCCGTGCTTTTCTCACTAACAGCCTAGAAGTGCAAACTATACTTGAATCGTCTCTTTTTTTTACAGTTATTTACAATATAGATGATGATGATATTAATTTTATTTTTATACTGCCCCACTGTGGTTTAAAACAATCCATGAAAACAGACAACACAGATACAATTAAAACATCATAAAATCAGAAAAATTAAAAAGTTTAAAAGAGCTTAAAACAAACAATGGAAAATAATTACTCTGCGAAACACCTGGGATAGGTAATCCCCCTCAAGCCCTGCATGGCCAAACAAGTCTTAAAAGGCCTCGGAGAAGAGAGCCATCTTAACTTGACAATGAAAAGGTGACACATTAGGTGCCAGTTTGGCTCTAGCAGGGAAGTTGTTCCATAGATGGAGGCCACCACAGAGAAAGCCCTTACCCTTGTTTCCATGTTTCACACTTCCCTCAGAGCTGACACTCAGTGAAAGACTCCAGAGACTGAGCATAGTATCTGAGTAGAACACTTGTTGGGAACTCTTGCTTGGTGAACCCATGAAACAAAAGGCAAAATCAAATGAAAAAGACCTGTTAAAATGAATACTTTTGAATGTAGCTCTCTGGAACTGTTACGCTTGAACACTGCATAAATACGTGTTGCTTTCACTCTGTCTGAGCATATTTGGGAGGAAATGTACTCTCACTCTCTTGCATATATTGAACTTTTATTTTAAAAGTGGTTTCCATATCTGTATTGTCTGTCTTGAACTTTGAAAACACAGCTGTATATCGAATGCAATCACATGTGTCTGCTGTGTGGCCCTAGCAATTTATATGCATAGACAGAATAAGAAGACTTCAGACTGCTTATATTTATACTTATTGGCATCCTAGGGAAAAAGGTAAAGTTCAGTTTATAAAACCTGGGCAAAGAAGGATGTAACTTTTTCTTTTCTCCCTTGGGCTAAATCTCAGCTGAAATAACTGACAATTTCTGGACTTGCAGGAGGAAATGATGAGCTAAGATAAATATCCAGATGTTTGCTGGCCAGATGGATAATGTTACATTTTGGAAGACAATGGTATACCTGTGTCTCCTGACAGGAAGTTGTAAACACACGCAACCTTTTTATCTCTGTAGTCTTGCTGAAAAAGCATCTCGTGTTTTTTTAAAGTA